TGTTAATTGATTAGTCCTCTTATGTTAACTTTCATCATAAGTCTGAAATGTTAATGCATTAAAAAAAAAAACTTATTTTATGAAGGTATTTATTTTAAAGGTGTTACTAACTTTTTTGATGACAAGTATTAGTAAATTCATTAAAATTTATATTTGCAGAGAAGTTGTCGATTATCTGTAGAGACAAGTAATATCATGATTTTGATATCTATTCAGAATTCAAAATCTTCTTCCTTGTTATTAGGGTGTTGTAAATAAATTATGTAAATTACAATACTTAAGTAAATACTTAATAAAGTCAGGGGCTATTTATAGAAGAAAGTACATGTACTTTATGATGAAAGTTGGAACATTACACACAAGACCATCATTTATATATAATAAATTATAATATAAATTATGTAAAATTTGGAGAAATTGAAAAAAAAAATTCTGATTTTATCATTATCTTAATTATTACATAAATTATTACACAGTGTTTCACTATTTTGAATCAAGTGTTCTTTTCTGATTGGTCCAAAGACTTTTTCTATTTATTTTTTTTAAAATAAACAAAATTTGATTCATAGTGTCATAAAAATGCCATTAGAAAATGAAGGCTTAATCAGATGAACCCTGGGTAATTTTATTTGATAGGGTATATCTCTTATTTCACATCATGAATGCGCTCCTCAATTGCTTGAAAAAAAAGGCTCAAATAAAAATTGAATAAGTGTTTCTGGGGTTCAGTGTTTCCATCAGCATTTTAGAAATACTTGTTTCAACTTCTCTATTTACTGTATATTTATAGCCATATTTTTTTCTATCTGATTTATGTGATATGATTTAAATCATATCTAAATGACCTTGGCAGCTGGGTTTTTTCTACAGGTGTACATCTTCAGGTGAAAAAAAGAGAGAGAATCCTTCTATATGCGGTTGTACATCAATGTCAAAGGAATCTATGGTAGGACAGGTCGTAAATGCCATATTTATTCCTAGTTATGGTCATAAAAATAAGTTTTTGATTCATTTCTATAAGTCCCAACAAAGAACATCACTCACAATGGGGGGAAAACGTAGAGGCATAAAAAAAACCGTATTAGCCATAAATATGTATACAAGTCTGTCATATTAATAGGGTTATATGCAAACAAGGCAATATTGTGTTTCTATGTATATGGAGATAGGGTAGTTTTGCTGGGATTGTGATATTTGACTTGTTAACATCGTCATATAAATGATGGCAATTACTTAAGGACAGTAAAAAGAAATGCCATCAAAAGGCTATAGACACCAACTAATGGTCAAACACCCCTGTTTTTCCACATTATTTATTGTTTCTTAAAATGTGTCGGCGCACAATAAATTTTGATGGAAACTGTCTGATTTACTTATACAGTATTTTTTGGAATACTTTGTGGTGTAGAAAATTTAACCAGGTTTTCTAAAAAGCATTACTGGTTTATAAAATTTTTGTGATTTGATAATTTTACAGAATTATGACTAATTTTATTCTTTTAAGTATGTATATGTATAATGAAATACTATCCCGGGTGAAACTCCTACATTTCTCATTGGATTTCAACAATCTTTCAGAGAACTATTGTCACCAAGTGCACAATCGTCATGCATATTGTCAGGGTTTTGTAATTTGATCATTTGGCAGAATTATGGCCCTTTATATTTAATATATAAGAAATAGTCATCTTTGTGCAACTTCTACATTTCTTTAGGAAATGTGCGTGTTGAATTAAATAAGCATCAGTTAACGAAAATAAAATTGTTTTCAAACTTTTAAACTTGGGGATAAATACATCAAATTTACTAAAAGCTTTTATGTATGATCCTTCTTTAAAACAATTGACATGAAGTAGTAATAATGAATACATACATATACTACAGACAGGAAGTCTGTGATATTTAAAGGAAATATAATAATTGTTCCATGTATACAGTATGGTATAGATTTCTACATGGATGATATTAGTTCTGCAGCTGTTGCAGTCTTTCTACGGAACTATTTTTTCGAGCTCATGAATATTTTGATGAAATCAATACATATGCCGTTGAAACAACAATTAGTGATTCCATTTTGTCACAGATGATCTCCGATTGAATGAAGATTAACAATATTGGAAACGATATTTCAAACGGATATATTCTGTATAAGTATCGGGATTCATTTATACATGCCAAGCATGAATTGATGTACAACCTGCCTATGAATAATTCTGATAAAATCCCACGCTTATCTTTCGTACCTTATGCTTTTCCCTATAACGAAGTTAATTCCTTTCTGATGGTACTAAAATGTATAAATTATTAAATAACAAGAGTAAAGATCAAAAAGAACAAAAGTCAACAAGGAAAGGTAATACTCACTGAGTACAGTCCCAAAAATCACAGGACTACCATCAACTGAAACAGGGGTTGGGGACGTGGGGTTTAGGTTTGGTTAAATAAACAAATCAATTGGATGAAAATTTTTAAGTTCACCTGATTACTGTTATGGTCACATGGTGTGTTTGCTATGACCACCTTATGTCCATCACTCATTCTTACAACTGTACATCATTTCTTATCTGCATGATTGCCATTTCATATTTGAATTAATTGTAACCAAACTCGTACAGAACTAGCATGTCATCAGAATATCTCAATTTCTCTTTTGAAGTGTGTAATATATTGGTCGAACTTACAAAAAGTGCCACAACAGGCACAATTTATTTTTTCTGAAGACAGCAGTTTTATTTTACCTTTGGTTTCATCTGTACCTGAGTACTATTTATGTAGTCAGTAGGACCACTTGTTTTTAAGTTAACAAAAGCAATATAGTAAGAGAGCATTCTGTATGTGTCACCTGGTATTTATTTCTCTTACAAGACTAAATGATAAGAATTATAGAGCAATGCCATGTACCCCACCAGTTCATTAACTATTGTGATATAAAATGATGGTAAATATAGATAAACTGTTGAATTAATGATTGTCTCTTGTAATATAGAATATTTATTGGAACTTCCAGAAATCTCTCTCAATCACACTAATTAATTCAGCCACTTTCCACTTTGGAGTTTTGCCTTCAAACATATTGCTATACCTGTGAATTAGTTTTAGATGTAAATAGGGAATCTGTTTGGACTTAAAAATGAAAGGGACTAGTATAATACTGTAATGTTTGCAGGTGAAATTTTAAAGGGAAGCATTTGTCATTCCAGATCAAATAAAACAAAAGTGAATTAAACGTTATAGAATTGCAGCAAAATGTCAAACTGATACCTTTTCTAGTAATTTTGCTCCTGGAGATGGGAATTTCATTCTGTTTTATTTATACATCTTTGTAAATTATTTTAATGCTTCTAACTTGGTCTCTATTTGTCCTCTTTGATCCATATTGCAGTCAGCTATTTTATATGCCATTCTAATGTAACAAGCATTCTTTTATATTTGCCCCTTAAAAGCAAATGGTGACCTCTGTAAAAGATTGGTACTGGAAGGTCATTCAATGGCATTTCTTCCTTTTTATTACTAACCAGTGAATGGGGAAAAATGTCCCCCCTCATCCAAGCTTTAGTGATGGATGAGGGGCAGTATTGGAATAAAGCCGGAGGCTGAGCATGTATAAATAGCATGTTATCCTAACGCATCGAGTCCACAACGCCGCTTCAACGAACCGTAAAAAACATGACCAAACCATGCGCGCGACCATGTCAACCCCAGAAATCATAATTCAAAGCCCAAAAAATTTGTTGACGTACATAAAAAATAAACTGGGAGGGAAAAAGAAAAAACTTGTAGCACCCAAAAATGGGGGGGTTTATACATGCTCAGCCTCCGGCTTTATTCCAATACTGCCCCTCATCCATCACTAAAGCTTGGATGAGGGGGGACAGTATTTTCATAAAGCCTCAGCTTTCACATGTATAAATAGCATCTTTAAAGATCGGCAACAAATATTTCCATGTCATTAGAAAAATGAAAAGACACATAACGCCAATCAAGAAACACAAATGTAATATCTGACAAATCCATAATATTTTATATCAAACAAAATATAAAATTCATATTTCATCAAAAATAATAAATCCAGATTGTCACTTTGAGGAAAAAACAGCTGTAGAAAAAGACAGATCCTCATTTTCAATAATAGGTCTATAATAAAACTTGTAAAAGTTATTGTCCGATTTCCAACCAGCTGTATTCAAGATATTTTTAATTGAACATCTCTGACTTCTTGCTGCTGCCGATACCGAGGCCCCACGAAAAGAATGGGCCTTAAAAATGGCAACATCAATGCCTGACAATTGTAACACTGTCTTTAGCCATCTAGCAATAGTGCTTGATGTAACTGCATTAAATGTTACATATGAAATTAATAATTGATCAGATAGTCTCAACTGTTCCGTTACTTTGATATAATATAATAATGTATGATATACACACAAACTTTCTTTCCTAAAATGCTCAAATTTAACACAAAAATTATTTTCTTTTCCCACGACTGAAGTCTTCAATAGATTCGGGAAATAAAACACACAATAAGAATTATGTACCTTCATATAATTCAAATCAAGTGACATAATTGTCTGAGCTCTAGGAGCACATGCCAACGCTATAAGTGCCGTAACTTTTAATGTTAAAAACTTTAAATTTAAAGTTTCTAAAGGATACCAAGTACTAAGCAATTTCAAAACTATTGTCACATCCCATGTGAACTTGTATCTCGGTAACGCCGGTTTTAAAATAAAAATCCCTCTCATAAAACGTTTAATCAAATTAGGTGAATCACACCAATCATTTCCTAACAATGACAAAGTCTGCAATAACATAGCCTTGTGAGAATTCAGCACCGAATATGACTTCTTGTCTAGATGCAAAAAATATAAAAACGATATTACCTCCATTTCAGTTGCTTTAAGGGGATTCTTACATTTCTGTGAACACCAAAACAGCCATCTTTTCCATGCCATGGAATACTGTTTACGAGTTCCTTGTTTCCAGGAACCAAGGATGATGGCAACAATTTCTGGAAGTAATCCTCTACCCTGGAGATATCTGCTGATAGTTGAAGAGCGACAAAAGTTGTAGAATGGACCATTGGACACACTGTACTGGAATCTTGAGGCATAATCATCAGATCCTTGTGACGCGGCAACCTAACAGGATCAGAAATTAGAAGATCCATAATAAGTGGAAACCAAAATTGTGTTCTCCACAAAGGGATAATCAATATAGCTTTTTTAACCTTATCATCTTTTAATTTATTGATAACTCTCCCAACCAACGAGAATGGTGGAAACAAATAGGGCTTAAGGTTTGACCAAGGAAACGAAAAAGCATCATTTCTAAATGCCCCAGGCTGGGGAAACCATGACACAAACCTTGACAATTGACAGTTTAACCTAGACGCAAATAAATCGATGTCTGGAAAGAACATCTGTGAACAGATTCTATCAAAAATCTCCTTTTTTAACATCCATTCAGCAGACTCTGAACGAAAATGTCGAGAAAAATAATCAGCTTGTACATTCTCTGAACCTTTAAGATAATTAGCTGATAAAAATATAGATCTCTCTAAGCACCAATTCCAGATATCAATAGCTAAACTATCAAGACTGGGGGAAGACATTCCACCCATGTCATTTATGTATGCTACAGCTGTCACATTGTCTGAAAAAACCTGAAGATGACAACTTTTAAAACTATCATACAAGGCTTTAATTCCATTAAAAACAGCTAAAAGTTCTAAATAATTTATGGCAAAACTTTGTTCACAAATTAACCAACGACCATTAGCAACTGAACCTGATGAAACATCAACACAAGCCCAGCCAAGTTTACTAGCATCTGTTTGACACGTAAAGGAAATATTTTGAGGTCGTATTCGCTTACCATTCTTGAGACGTATATTTTCAAGCCACCAACGAATTTCAGATTTTGCACCTTCGGACAAAAACACTTTATTGTCAAAATTCATATTTTTACCTAATCCATTAATTTTACATCTTTCCATTTGTCTATAATGAAGAGGAGCTTCTAAAACTGCATGGAAGGCATTTATAACAGACCCTATAAATGAAGCAAGCTCTCTAACAATCACTAACTCACTGTGAATGAGATTATTAGCCTTTGAGAGTATTTTCTCAATCTTTTCCTCTGTCAAAAAACACCATAAAAAGAACTGAATCCAAAAGATACCCAAAAAAGACAATTTTATGACTGGGTACCAAACTTGATTTTTTCTCATTAATAACATAGCCTAAAGACTGTAATGTGTCACAAATAATCTTTGCATTTTCTAGACACAAATCTCTATCACAGTTCATATTTAAAGAATCATCTATATAATAGGCACATCTGATGGCTTGAGAACGAAACCAGGCATAAATAGGTTTTAATAATTTGGTAAAGACTCTAGGTGCAGCACTATAACCAAATGGTAAACAAACAAAGGCATATAATGAATCTCTCCAATAAAATTTCAGAAATTTTTGGAACTCTGAATGAATGGGAATGGAAAAGTAAGCATCTTGTAAATCAACTGAACAAAAATAATCATTTTCTTGAACTAAGTCCAAAATTACTTTGAAATGCTCCTGTTTGAAATGTTCATAATGAACAAAATTATTTAACTCTTTGAGATTAATGATTGGTCTATATTTACCATTTGGCTTTTTCACTACAAAAATATTAGAAATAAATTGATCACTTTCCTCCACAGAAGGTGCAATAGCCCCTTTTTTAAGCAAATCTTCAACTTCAGAATCTATAATACTCATTTCTTCTGTATTAAAATTGATTTCCTTTGGTAAAGAATATTGCACAGGATAAACATCAAATTCTAATGAATAACCCTGAACAGTACTCAAAACCCAAGGGTCATTAGAAAACTTTTCCCATGCATGAATAAAGTATCTTATTTTACCTACCGAACTTATTTCTCCCCGTTTGGGGGTGCCGTCACAGTGGCAGACTTAAATGTTCCCTTCCTCATGGGAGCTCTCTGGGAATAACCACCCCGCACCTGTGGATAAGGTGTCATTCTTCCTCTGTTAAAATGCCTTGCTCTAGAAAAACGACCTCTGAAAGAATTCCTATTATACTGTGCGTTATAATCCTTTCCCAGATTAACCCCTACTTCACAATGCTTAATCTCTTTAGAAATATCGTCACCAAAAAGAGAGGTTGAAATAGGGACAGACATGTTACACAAATTTTTATACCTCTTGTTCAATGATGGACGAATCAAATATCTACGTCTGATACTTATGTTATACTGTGCTTGTCCAAGAATTGACAAAGAATCAGATAGTAACTGTTTAGCCTGTGGTTTAGCAGAAATAGAGGTCTTCAAAATCTTAGCCAGCTTAATAATGGGCACCATACCAGCTGCTAACAACGACTGAATATCCTGAAATAGACGGTCATGAGACCGAGAACGTTTATCCATAACCTTCCAAATTTCCATGTTCACCATTGGAGGATTCAACTTCTCACAGTTAGCTGGTACAGGATATTTATCACAAAGTTCATCACTGTCACAAAGTGCGGTGCAGGCAGTATTAATGAGTTTAGCTAAGGAGGAAGAAATTGCCTCACCTTTATTTCTCTGCTTAATTTTAGGCAAGCCCCAATCTTCATCATCACTAACATGGGACACATCGTCCTCTCCAAACATTGAATCAATCAGCCTTTTAGTCATATCTCGACTTCTAGCATGCCTTGCAGGTCTGTGGCCAATACTGTCATCGCTATCTAAAAAATCATTTTCAACTTCAATTTGCATATTAGGTGCTCGGGCCAAATCAACATACTCATTTTCCATATCACTTTGTTCCATAGAAAAAGTGTTAGAAACCTGTGGAGCAGGAAGCCCCAATTTACTACGTAACAACTCTAAATCATCAGAGGATAATTTATTTAAATCAATCAAACTTTTGTTAGCGTTCCTTGATTTTGTCCCCTTTTTATCACTAACAGAGGTCTTTGTTGTCTTAGATTTATCCACATTGGTCGATTTTTTACCAGTTTTCGCGACCTCTTGACCAACTTTTGACACTGAACTTTTAATTCTGCCAGGCCCTTTACCACGGCTCTTATTCTTAACGGGGACATCGTCCTCCGAAAATCCAGAAAACTCTGGACTCTCGTCAGAAAGATGTAACACATCTTCATTCTGAACAGATAAATTCCTATTTACCGAGACATCGTCTTCGGACTGGCTCATATTGAAAAAACAACAAAGTCTGGACAACGTCCTAGACAGAGCCAAAAATACTGTATAAGAAATAAAAATAACAAAATAATTTCACGTCAATTCACAAACTTACCGACAAACAAAAAGCCGAGAGCTGTAAATACAAAACAAACCCTCAAAAACTGCATAAGAAAACGAAAGTAAGCGTAACACGTGTGGACTATTCAACGACGCCAGGAAAACTATGATTTCTGGGGTTGACATGGTCGCGCGCATGGTTTGGTCATGTTTTTTACGGTTCGTTGAAGCGGCGTTGTGGACTCGATGCGTTAGGATAACATGCTATTTATACATGTGAAAGCTGAGGCTTTATGAAAATACTGACATAAATATAACATTGTGGAAATGGTCCTGACTTCAGTGAATCAAGTACTAAAAAAAAAGAAATGATAATCACATACTTTTTATTATTTTACAAGACTTTGGGGGCTGTAACCCAAGGTTTTAATTTGTTTCTTTCTAGTATTGACGGCATTTAAAGGCCTTTCAGAGAACCTAAGTTTTTCCACCGTCCTGCACCCTGAATGCGCAAAGAAGCGAACCTCTTTGAAAAAAAAATCAAAAACATTATATGAAAATTTGAAACTTCATTTGTACATAGATCTCATTGAAAAGAAGTTCAAGAACCATTACTCACTTTGGCAAAATGTTTGAGTTATTGTCCTTTTTAGCTCGACTATTCGATAAGAATAAGTAGAGCTATTGCAGTCACCCGAGCGTCGGCATCGGCGTAACCACTTATGTTAAAGTTTTTGTAATAGTTCAAATATTTTCAAAGTCCATTGACATATGGCTTTGAAACTTTGCACACTTGTTCAACATCATGACCCCAATCTGTAAAACAGAAGGAGGTAACTCTATCAAGCATTTTGACAGAATTATGCCCCTTTTTCGACTTACAATTTACGTTAAAGTTTTTGTAATAGTTTAAATATTTTCGAAGTCCTTAGACATATGGCTTTGAAACTTTGCACACTTGTTCACCATCATGACCCCAACCTGTAGACAGGAGGAGGTAACTCTATCAAGCATTTTGACAGAATTATGCCCCTTTTTCGACTTAGAATTTACGTTAAAGTTTTTGTAATAGTTCAAATATTTTCAAAGTCCATTGACATATGGCTTTGAAACTTTGCACACTTGTTCAACATCATGACCCCAACCTGTAAACAGGAGGAGGTAACTCTATCAAGCATTTTGACAGAATTATGCCCCTTTTTCGACTTAGAATTTACGTTAAAGTTTTTGTAATAGTTCAAATATTTTCAAAGTCCATTGACATATGGCTTTGAAACTTTGCACACTTGTTCACCATCATGACCCCAACCTGTAAACAGGAGGAGGTAACTGTATCAAGCATTTTTTTTACTATCAAGCACTAAGAATAGTCGAGCGTTGCTGTCCTACCGACAGCTCTTATTTAAAAATTTCCTTGCTCATTTTTTTACATAATTTTTGAGTTGTTGCCCTTACCCATAGCGTTTTTTCATAATTATTATCCCAGGCATAACTCACAGAGTATTTGAGGTATTGACTTGAAAAATAAAAATGTTCATATATTTATCCACATTTTAATTTGCTTTGGAAAAATGTTTCTACTAAATGTGGTCATTTCGAGGGTAACGACCGCAATACTGCAGTAACTTATATGAAATAAAGGACTTACAACAGTGTTGCAATCAACCCTTGAAAATTTTGTTCAATATATGATTTGTTTTAAGTAATTGACAAATGCTCAATTTCCACATTAATTAGAAAGTTTTCATCTGAAAATGGAAGGATTTAAAAGTTAAAGACTTCAAACATATATGAATGAAAGCTTGCGTGTGTTACTGTAACTTTGCAGCTCAAAAAGTTAAATTTGTCTGTTTGAAGGGAAAAAAACAGTCAAATAAAAAAGTTATTATTGCCTAATTTAGTATACAAATCTTAAATGCAAATATTTACTTGCAGGTAGGTTTTAAGTTTCTACCATAATTCAGGAAACTTCTATCTCTAACATGATGCAGCAGAATTTCAAGTAGGCTATGTGTAAAATGATACCCCCAGAATATCATTGTCATCACTGACAGACCAAAGTATGGATCAATTTCATCTTATGCCAGTAAATGAGTTTCAAATATACCATTCATCAAGAAGATTCTTTTCTTCTAACAAAATTAAATTGCCGTTTAAATAACAGAAAAGAATAGTTTCTTTCACCTGTAGGGGATTTCCTGAACATGGAAGAGAAATTTAATTCTAAGTTCAGATATAAAGGTTAGAACACCTATTGTAGGAGATGAGATTTCAGCAGACATGAAAGTTTACTAGTCTTGTTAACATGGGAACAAACAGTACTTTAGTGTTGATAGGGAAATATATACGAAACTGTTATAGGCAGAAATAGAATTAATTATGTAACAGTGATAACTTATAGAAATTCAAACACAGCATCTCCTATCTTAAGTGTAGCACTCAATAAATACCCAATCATATTATTGACAATTAAGACAACTGCAGAAACTTATTAAGAAGATCGAGCTTGACTAGGTACAAAACTTAGCTACAGGTGCAATGAAAACTCTTGATAAAGCAATGGAGGAATTGACTTCAAGACTGCCTCTTAGAGAAATGGCTTAAGAGGTTGCTTAATATCCGAGTACTTTTAAGAATATCCCATGAAACAAAAGTTTGATTGTCTAGCAAAGAAGCTCAACTGAACACCCTGGCTACGAACTTGGACCAAATGCTGTTCCTCATGGCATATCTACCATAGTCCCAGTTGTATATTTTATTACTGTCTAGTTACTAAGGTCAAGGTCACAATTAGAGGTCATTGAATTTGTTAAATATAACAGTTTGTTATATATAGAATAATTCAAATGTTTTTCTTAGAATTTTTCAGAGATTTTCAATTTTGCTTAAATCTTCATTATAATGAAACAGTTTAAGAACTTGAGTGCAGCTCAAGGTCAGACAAGGTCAAATGTCAAAAATGTCTCATACTGTTTGCCTGCATTATCATTCATTAAGTCTGTTGACATAAAACTTTTATGTAATGGGCATGGAAGTCATATATTTTTATGTCTCTGTTAACTTGACATTATTGTGGCACTTTGGTATAATATTATAGTAATCTTTTAATCCTGATTTATTATATAAAGGACCAGTCCAAAAAGTAAAGAATAACAAGTCTTTTGCATGATACCAGGAGAGAAATTTTAAGTATTTTATTTGAATATCATGTCTTGCATATATCAGTAGAATAGAGAACTCACATCTGTGACTTTAATTTGCTCATGTCAATAACAGCTTTATTGGTTCTAGAGAAAAAAATTATAACAATCTATTCCAAACATAGGATGTAATTATAGATAAGAAATAACAAATTGTTCACATGAAGGAGATAATTATAAATTAAATGAAGTTATTTTGAATTCCATAAAACTATGAGATGTAGCAGTAACAAAACTTTTTATGAAGATAAGAATTTCAGGACTGACTTTGTTGGTATAATTCTGATTTTGGGTGTCATGGCATTTATAACCAGATAAGACAGGATTCAAATGAATCTGTATGTAATATAATGTTTGCAATCATTCCAAGAGATGAGGGGCATAATGTAAAATACACTAATTAAAGTCTGAAACTAAAAAATATTTACCATTCAATATGTAACTTCAAGGTCAAGGTCAACAGAGCTTGGCTTTACTTGGGCCATCATAAAAATAAAATCTCACAATACTTTGAACAGACCTACTTCTATTTTGGTGCTGTAGAAAAAAGTACAATATTGACACTTCAGTGCCAAGTTCTTTTTTTCACTGTCCCAGGCTACAGGTTCACTGGACAGGATGTGAGCTGCTTGCCATTATATGACTGACAATATTTTAGATCAAACTGTCACAACTTTTGAGAAAAATTGAACTTTGTTGACTTGTTTCTTGAAAGATGTGTCAGGTTATATGATCATACACATGCTAAGAAAACCTAAAATGTCATGTAGATCTATATGGTTCTTGAAATTTCTGTATTTACCAAATTGTCTCATAATTTTCCCAATTAATGCCAGGACCCTTTTTCAAAAAATACATTGTAGATGAAAAGGCTGTAGGTACTATTTATTTATTTGTTATTGTTTATTTATTTTGAAGCTTCCAATTCTACCTTTTTAATCTTTTATGTAAATAAAGTATTTAATAGAATATTGTTTAACCCAAATCTCAATTTTAACACTGTTGAATTTTGCAATCTAATTGCATCTCACAAAATGCCTTAACTTTTTCAAAATCACTTCCATTTTGATCTTTGTTACTATAAAGGAAATGCTGTTTTGATTTTTGTAGATATACATATTCAGTTCTGTAGAAAACTCCTCTGGGTTATTTCCTGTATTTGAAATTCAAATTTTGTAATCTGTTTTTGATCTCCCATCACTTTTAAACAATTCTTAAGGCAAGTTTAGTGAAGCAATTTCAGTATTTTCATATCTAAATGTTAGATCTTTTTTTTCTTTTAGTGTATAAGGCAGTGTTTTACCTCCCTCCAGCATTTTCACATCTCCATATTGAGACAGAATTACAGGGTGGAAACTTTGATGGTATGATAACATATCAGTTTGGTTTATTTTCATCTGAACCCTTACTTTTTTGCTGTATTCTTGTAAATGGCCTGTTCTGTCATGAATTTTGAGCAGTCCATTAGCTTAAAGGACTTCAGTATTAAGCTACCATCATTTAAGAACTTGTTTGGGCTAGTACTGGCACTTATGTACCTAGTGAAAAGAGCTTAAACCAATAAGTGCTTAGTAAATTGATAGTCAGTTGCCAGCCAGGACTTGAACTTAGTTAGTCAGTTGCTAGCAAGAGTTAAACCAATAAGTGCCCTGTGATATGATAGTCAATTGCTAGTCAGAGCTTGAACCAATAAGTGTCCAGTAATATGATAGTCAATTGCTAGACAGAGCTTGAACCAATAAGTGCCAAGTG